ACCTCTCCCCTCCTCTGATGACCCCAGCCCACCTCCTTTACAACCCCTTCCCTGTTCCCTCTCCAGCCTCACACTGATGCACAGAGTTCCCCGATGGCAGGTACAATCTGCCTTGCCTGCCCTCCTCTCCCTTCCATCTTCGTCCCACTCTGGACACCTAGAATGAAGCAGGAACTAAAAGAACCTTGAGATGACCACGCCCAGTTTGCCACTGGACTTGCCCACTGTGCCCAGTAGCTGGCAGGTGCCCAGCAAATGCTGCTGCCTCGGCAACCCAAGAAACAAGTGTAACCTACCGTGCCTTTGGGCTAGATGGCAGCAGCCAGCCACAGGCCATCAGAACAGGACTTGCTGAAGGACGGCACTGACCTCACTCGGGGCTTGATGTCCACCAACTGCTACCTGGTGCCACGGGAAGTGAGCCACAGCCATGAGAGGACAGTGAGCCTACGTACCCTGCCGTCACCACAAGGGGCCATTTATACTTAGAGGACAGCATGAGCATTTCAGCACATCCACTGGAAAAGGATCAGAAGGATGGTGAAGGGTTACGGCCCATTTGACAAGGGGTCCTCAAGAGAGTGTACCCTCTCTCTGGAGAGGTGGTGTCTCCTAAGCCGAGTCCCCCTGAGGAGCTCCAGCCCAGCCCCATTACCATTACGGACTGAAGCTTTCAAGCCTGGTAGGCCAGCTCAGGTCATGTTCCAAGTGAGAGCAGAGTGCAGGGTTGGTAAACGGCAGGTGATGCTGTGGTGGTCGCAGGTGACGTGCTTGTACAGTTGTGTGACTGTGGCTGGTGTCCTGTGCTCCTGAGGTTGCCTCCCACTACTGTAATCACTGCAGTTGCGGTTGTGTTGTGCAGTGTGGTTGTCGCAGTCCTGGTCATTGTGGGGACTGTGGTTGTAAGGCAGTGTGGTTGTGGCAGGCATTCTGACTCTTCTGTCACAGACTGAATTGGAGGCCAGCTGCAGGGACACTCAGTGGCCTCCTGATTCCAGACACTAACTCTTCCCACAGCAGGGCCATGCTGTGCCCAGAAACCATGAGGGGAGAGCATGGGGGAGGGAAGCCCCGTGGTCCCTTCTTTCTGACTGGGGTGACCCTCCAGTGTGGCTGGGCAGGCTGCTTGCTCATCCAGAGCCGAAGCAAAGTCCTAGGGCTTTAAAATCCAAGGCTGATCCTCCTGACAGGCTGCTTCTTGGGTCCCAAAAGCACTTCCCATGTAAAACTCCATTATCTAGTACCAAAAAACAGACTCTGCCCGAGCCATTCCCTTGAGGTGTCAGGCAAGGCCTGGCCATAGCTGACAGCGAGTAAGGAGACCAATGACAAAGCAGAACACCCCTCAGGCAATAGCAGAGGCGAGGCGGAGGGTCCAAACCAGGCTTAGCTCCTTGACCTTAGCCCCAGAGGCAGCATGAGGCAGGCCGGGCCGGGCCGGCCAAGCCAGCCCTCAGGTAAGCAGAGCCTGGGCATCTCCTTTCCACCTTCATCCACCTTTTTTTTTTAGTACCAGGGATTGAACTCAAGACCTCATGCTTGCCAAGCAGGCACAGTGCCACTCAGCTACATCCTCAGTCCACCCACCCCTCTTATAAGAGCCCAGTGAGTGGATCCGAGCTGTGGGGAGACTGTATGGCTCACACAGCACAGCATGGCAGGCCAAGACCTTGGCTGGACTCCTATGCAATGTACCCCTCTTCCTCGGAACCCAGTCCCCGTCATATATTTGTTTTGTTTTAAATTTATTAAAAATGGCCCAATAGTCAAAATGCACAAAAGAGAATACAATGAAATATCTCCTCCCCCATTCTTTTCCCTGAGCCAAAGACATTTTATGAATATACAAGCAAGTACACATGCATACAGAGGAACACAGCATGGTGAGAGCAGTACTAACTCTGGATCAGACTGCCGAGTTCCATACCCAACACTGCCCTTAGTAGCTATATGTGTCCCTGGACAACCTCCCTGTGCCCCAAGTACTCTGTCTACAGAAGAGGACAGACTCATAGTACTGCTTCCCAGGTATATGGTGAAGTTTAACATCATACATTTAGTTCTTTCTTTAAATTTCACAGATGTACCACACTGTTTTGCACCTTATCTGTACCTTATCTTCCTTGTTTTAAAGTATATCTGGGAGCTTATTCCCATTTCAGTACATAAAAAGCTTCCTTAGGGGCTGGGGATTTAGCTCAGCGGCATAAGCACCTGCCTTATAAGCAAGCAGTTGTGAGTTCGATCCCTGGTACCGATAAAAAGGAAAAAGACAAAAAAAAAAAAAAGCTTCCTTAGTCTTTTCAAGGCTATATAATATTTCACTGCCTCTGTGCATTATAATTTATTTAGCCAGTCATCTTTCTTGTGGTGTTAATGTTGTTTGGTTTTTTGATACTGGGGAATTGCACTCACAACCTCGCACTTGCCAGGCAGGTGCTTATGTCACTAAGCTAAATCCCCTTCCCAAGCTGGTCATCTTTTGATGGATATTATTTAATTTTTTGGCAGTACTGTGAATTGAACTCAAGACTTTGCATTGCCAGGCAGACACTGGACCACTGAGCCGTACCCCTGTCTGATGGATATTTAGGTGGTTTCCAATCCTCTACTCTAAAACAATGTTGCAATGAGTAACTTTGTGCATACTTCATTTTGTCCAAAAGTGAATAGAATTAGATAAAATTAGCAAGTTAGTCAGCAGTTATACGCATTTATGACTTTCACCATCCTTAAAGTGATACAGATATAATGTCCCATCAGCAACATAAAGACTCTCTGTTCCCCATACCTTCACCAGCAGAATGTGTAAATGTCTCTTATAAATTTAGTAAGTAAAAAATGATAGTTTTACTTTGCATACTTTTCTTGGAATTTCTTTTAATTTATAAGTTAACTAAGGCAAGTTTACTATGAGTAAGGTGAAACAGCTTTTAATACGTTTATAAAACATTTGTGTTTTCACATCTGTGAATTCTCTGTTAAATCTTTTGCCCATTTTCTTATCTACAGAAGGTCATTTTTTGTATTGGTTGGTAGAAAGTCTATGTATTAGTAATGTTAGCATATCTTCCTGGCTTAACATTATTCTTTTAAATTTGATTTTTGTTGTTTTTTTCTATATGCAATTTGTAATGCAATAAAAGTTATCACCGTTTCCTGTACGGCTTCTGCATTTAGTGTCGTAGTTTGAAAGCTCTGCCTTATTCCAGTACACTCATTAGATCATTTTTAAATCTCCCAGAGTTTCTTCTAGCATTTTAAAAAATTTAAATCACTACTTCCTCCTGGTATGCATCCTACTATAAGAAGTGAGGTATGAATCCAACTTAATTTTTTCCAGATGGCTACCAGTTGTCTCAACACCATCGACTGAATAATGCATCTTTCCCCCCAATGATTTGAAATGTCATCATTATCATAAGCAAAATTCCCAATAAGTTTTGTTCTATTTGTGAACTTCCTATTTGTTCTAACTTATGTGGTTTTATAATATGCATTATATCTTATAGGGCTAATCTCTCATCTCTTGTCTCTATCTGTCTGTCTCTCTCTCCCCACTCTGTCTCCCTGTCTCTGTCTTTGTCTCTCTGTCTCTCCTTTTTCCACTGGAATGGTTAGTTTTCTTGGAATTTCTTTTAATTTTTAAGTTAACTAAGGCAAAACTGATATTAAATATGAGAGCAAATGGGGCTGGGGATTTAGCTCAGCGGCATAAGCGCCTGCCTTGCAAGCAGGCAGTCGTGAGTTCGATCCGTGGTACCAATAAAAAGGAAAAACACACACAAAAAAAAAAAAGAATACGAGAGCGAAGATGATATTGTATCAGTTTTTGTGAATATTTTACCAGAAAACCATCCAATATATTAAATTTTGTAAAGTAAGAGAGTTTCAAAGACTGTCTTCATGTTTCAAAATTTGCTAGAACTCAGAACTCACACAAAGCTATTATAACTGTGCTTATGGTTTGTAATAGTAAAAGGATACAAACCAAAGTCAGCCAAGGGAAGAGACGCACAGGACCAGGAAGGTTTCAGGCACGGAGTTCCCGGATACCCTTTCCCAGAGAAACCATGGACAACGATTCTGCATGTCAGCAGAAGGGAGCCTGACCGAACAGGAAAGCTCACCTGGACCTGCTGTCCAAGGTTTTTATTGGGGCTCAGTCACACAGACATGACTGCCCATGGGGCAGGCCTTTCACTCGCATGCCCCACAGAGGCGGAGTGGACATTCATGGCCCAAGCTCTTATCAGAATCACATCATGAGGTTATCCCCACGGCCTGGGGCTGCCAAGTAAACAAAGACACTCACTGTGTAGGGTACTCCAAGAGCCCAGAGATTACCTTCCAGGAGCCAAGATAAAAGCCAGACTCTTTCTGGGTAAGGCTAAACTTTACGTCTTTACTACACAAGTTATAAAATTTATTTACACTGAGTTGAGTAAAGTAGTTTCTAATGATTTTTTAAATTCCTTCTCTCTGTGAGTATTTTCTCCTTAACATTTCTCATTTGTGCTTTTTCCCTCTTTTCTCTGGATAAAGTAGCTGAAAATTTCTAAATCTTGCTTTTAAAGAATTAGCTTTCTAATTTATTAGTTATTTATTATAATTAATATAAATCAATTATAATTGTATATAATTAAGGGCCAGGGATGTGGCTCAGGGATGTGGCTCACCTGCTTGGCAAGTGTGAGGTCGTGACTTCAATTTCTGGTACCAAAAAATAATAATAATCCATAATTATATATAATTATAACAATTATTTTCTATTTTTTAAATTTGTTCATTTCTTCCTTAACACATTCCTTCCTTCCTTCCTTCTGCTTTCTGAGGTTTTTGCTCTTTTAAAAAAACTACTTCAACAAGATGTTTATTTTGGGGCTGGGGATTTAGCTCAGCGGCATAAGCACCTGCCTTGCAAGCAGGCAGTTGTGAGTTGGATCCCTGGTACCGATAAAAAGGAAAAAGACCAAAAAAACAAACAAACAAACAAACGATGTTTATTTCATTCTTTATTCCTGTTTGTCTTTTATAAATTTATTATAAGGCTATGTACATCAGTCAAGTTCTCTGGAGAAACAGAACCAATAAGATATTTATTAATTTATTATAGTTTGCTCACATAATGATGGCACCTAAGAATTTCCAAGATCTGCTTTCAGCAAACTGCATAATAGATGATGTAGTTCCAGTCCAGTCTAAAGGCCTGAGAACCAACACAGCCAATGGTCTGGTCTGATCCGAAAGCAAGAAGTCACCTAGGTTCCTGAACTTCCACGCAAGCCTGCAACAGAAAAGACCTACTCACACTGAGGAGTAGGTCTGCATTCTTCAGTCTAGCAATCAATTGTTGATTTCATCCAAAAACACACTCTTAGACTCTCCCAGAACAATCTAGGGATCACATGATCTAGTCAAGTTGACCATAAAATTGACCATCACACTTTGTAATGTTTTCTGGTCACTGCCTTAATCGTACCTCATAAGTTCTAGTAAGTAATGCTTTCATTATTGTTATTTTACATTCATTACATATTGAAAGTATCTTTGCGCTTCCCATAGGAATATTTTGCTACTAAATTCTGATCGAGCAATAAGTAGAGGGACTTGACCTTTCATAGAAGGTTGATCTGATTTTCAAGGGGCAAACCATGACTTCCACAAGGCCCAAAATTTGCTTTGAAAAAGGTTCTCCCAGAATTTGAAAAACTCATTAAAATATCAGTGGGACCCAGCACCTACCTGCCTTGATGGAGTGTTTTTTTAACAACCCAGGTGAAGAATTCTCCTAATGAATCTTGAAACTAAGAAGAAGGCATTACTTCTGTTTCAGCCACGTAGTCATAAATATTACTGACAATAATTATGATAGCTATGGTACCTACAAATGTATGTTTCCTGTACTTTATATATGCCATCCTGATTTTTGTATCAATTCTAGGATAGTAACATCACACTCTACATTTTAAAGATGAGAAAATTAAGCCTCCAAGGGTTTATGTAACTAGTTTAAGATCGCACTTCCTCTTACATGAGGAGCAAGGATTTCACATGGACTCCATCTGATTGCAGATCTGTGCCATTTTTCAGGGCGCTACTTGCCTCTCATTGCCCTCTCACCCAACGCATAGCAAATAAGATTGTTCTGCCTCTCTTGGTAAAACCTTTTTTCCAGGCAAAGTAAGTATATCTGCTATGGTCCACTCTCAGTGAAGTAGAAGTCCAGCCCAGAATTTTGGAATCGACACAGCAGGCCACCAGCCATGCATGGGAGGCCTTTGCCTGGAGAAGCCATATGGATAAAGAAGATCCTGAGCCAAGTGCTAATGAAGAGAAAGGGGGAGACATGGGGGTGGGAGTTAAGAGGACAGGGGCTTGGCACAGCTGCTTCAGAAGAGGGACGGTGTGGCCTGCAATGGTCCATCAGGACTGACCTTGGAGCCTGCTTGGGCTCGACACACCCATCACTCGTGCCAAGCCCATTAAATTCATCTCAGCTGTCTGGCACTCATCCTCTAATGAAACAAGCAAACGACTTCCTGTGTTTGAGGTTCAGCTAGTAGTGTTGGCCAAGTTTCAGTGGGAGCCAGAAAAGACGACCACATGGGGGCAGGAGGCCCTGAGAGCAGCAGTCAGAGCAGATCGAAGAGCACCTGCCAAGGGGGCAGATTATCAGAGTCCTGCTACAAAGAGATAAGGAACGTTTTGATCCAGCCTGGAGAAGGGCAGGCTTTATATAGCAGCCTGAGTAGGCTGCAAGGGAATGTCCTGGCTGAAGGCCTCTGTCTAGCCAAGCAGAGAGGGGAATAGTGGGGAGGAAGTGGGAAGCTTTATAAATAACATCATATGTGCTGATCTGCTCAGTGAGTGGCCTTGTTTCTGCAAAGTCTTCAGTCTGAGGAAAGAGAGAGACATTTATAGATGGTATTTTTTTGTTATACTCCTCTATGTTTTCCATGTGTTCTACAATGAACTTGAAATTCTTTTTAGTTAGCATACATGAATACAATTTTTAGGAAAGTATAAAAGAGAAGCATCAAATGCATCTCTTTGCTTGCTGATTTTAGTGATCATTTCTACCCTGCCCAAAACTGTTCCAGTCCTCTCCTCCCTTCGCTGGTCTCTCCCCGAGGAGTCTCGGGGTGCCTGGACCTGCCTATGCTGAGGATCTGACCAATTTTCTCAGCTCCTTCAGGACTCCCATATCCTCAATCTGTCCCCCTGCCCCCAGAAACTCAAATGTCACTGTTCTTGGTTTATTATCTTTAGATAAGGCACCTGTGCTCCTCTCTCTGCTGAAGAGGACACAAAAAGGTCACCAGGGCAAATCCATCCTGCCTACTTCCAGCTCCTCTGACACAAGCTTAGTAATGAGGGGGGAAAATGAAGTCCCACTTTAGAAAATGTGCTTTGTACTCTGCACCTGGGATCCTTGTCTGTATGAGGAGAATAATAATAGGTCCCGCCTCAAAGAGACCACATTGATTAATACAGTGAATGTCAAGGACCTGGTATACTGGAAATGTCCAGCTGAACAGTTATTGATGATCCATGTATCACACATTCCTTTCCACACTCAGCCCCACCCCCAGATGACCACACCCACCTAAACTGGCCAAGATGACACTCACTGTTTCCAAAAATAGCTCCTCCCGGGAGATGTGAAAATTCACCACCTCAACTCTGGTGCTGATGTAAACTGAAGTTCCAAAATGCTTCCAGAGGTGACAGGCTCCTTGGAATTGTTAGCCTTCACAGTGTTGCCTTACAAGGCAGCAGTCCTCACTTGGTTTTGTGAGTCATGTCAGGGCTTCAAGACAAACAGACAAATGAGTAAACAAGTTGTCAGTTTGTAGTAACAACCTTAGGTAGGCGCAGTTCAACTCCTGACTACAGAGCAAGTTTTAGGAGACAAAATTAGGTAAAATAGCAATGAAACCTTGTTTTGTTTGTTTTTTGAGCAAATGCTATCTGCAAAATGGTGCCATGCTAAAATTCAAAAATGGAAATTTTTCTAGAAGATGAAAGGCTCTGTTCTGAAAGAGATTACAACCCTGTTGGGGAAGTGAAATGCAGATAGAGGACTGGAAAGCTCACACAGCACAGGAAGATAAAGCCATGCAGGTGACAAGTTTGGAAGAGTTCCTACTGAGTTCTGGAGGCACAGTTGCTTGTGGAAAAAATAAATAGCAACAAGCAGAAACCACATCTCATAGTATCCTTTTTTGTTTTGTTTTGTTTTTATTGGTACCAGGGATCGAACTCACGACTGCCTGCTTGCAAGGCAGGCGCTTATGCCGCTGAGCTAAATCCCCAGCCCCTCTCATAGTATCCTGATTCAACCAGGAGAGAATCTGAGAGAAAGGGTCTCACATATCAATAACGACATGACTTGGTACTAGGTACATAAGTACATCCTCCTTTTTGATCCTGCAATATCGGTGGTTTTACTAATCTCATTTTATAAATAAGAAACCAGTGGTTCAGAGAAGCTCGAAGAAACTAAGCTATATACTCAAGGTCACACAGCAGAAGCAGGATTTAAATCAAGTTCTGCCTGGCTCAATAGTCCATGTTTGGCTTTTATGACCCGGTACTGCTAAGATTTCCCTTACATTTGGCTTCCAAAGCAAACTACTACTGTCTGTGACAAGTACCTGAGCTCTTATCCTATGCCTGCAGACTTCCAGGAGAGAATATGCTGCACAGTTAAATTCTTTGAAGATGCGATGAACTACACAACCATGAGACAAAGTACAACAATATCCAAACCCTAACTCAAAGTAATAATTTTTATTAATTTTTATATTTAAACTCCTCTTTCTACTTTGTAGCTTTTTCCTCAGTTCAGAAGCTCACATCTCTTCATGTTTTTGGAAGCTCTTTTTTTCCCCCAGTGCTAGAAATTGATCTCAGCGCCTTCAGGTGCTGTTTATTTTGTTTGTTTGTTCTCGTGGGTACTATGAACCCAACTCAGGACCTCGTGCTTGCCAGGGAGGCATTGCACTGCTGAACTGTATCCCCAGCAGCCTCACCAATCTGAACTCCACCACTGGACTACTCCCCCAGCCAGCTCACGCCTCAGTCACCCAGCGATCCAGAATTAGTGGCATGCACTTGTCAGAAATGACATAGGCATAAGACAATCTTCCAAAAGAAACCTTGTCCCCAGTTTTAAGTCATTTGGACTCAGAAGGGTTTTATGACATAAAGCTTTCTTCTAGGAAGCTTTGGGAAATTTTCCAGGTAACATCTGGCTGCAGCTAACAAGGTATCACCCATACCCTTTGGTGTCACGCTCAGCGTCCACTCAGCATCAATATCACACAAACCCAAAGGTCACGTTCCTGAAAGTATGATGCTCTCTTGCAGCAGTCTAGGTACAGTCACTGCCTTTGCCAATGGATCCATTCTTTCATTCCTCATTCAACATATTTACTGAATGCTAACTACAAGCATTCTGCTAGCATGATCGATCAGGAAACTCAGCAGACCGAGGTCACAGCAAACAGCATTCCAAAACAACTGTTTGCCTGGGCTCAGTACCAGTCTCCCATCCTTGACTCCTCCCTACCGTGAAGCCCATTACCTTATAGCCAACCACCACTCTTGACATCTAGTCTTTAATGTCTCTGAAATCCTTCAACTTCTTTCCATCCCTTCTGCTACTCCTTAGTCTAGGTCTCCATGTTCTGTTCCTTGAATTTCCCCAGCAACTTTCTCGCTGTTTTCCCTACCTTCTCTAGATCTGCTCTCATCCAATTTAACTGCCAAACCACAGGTATATAGTAATGAATTTGGCTCACTCAGAGGTCTTATCTCTGTCCCTGCTCCTAGGAAGTAATCTCTAAACCCTTGCAGTTTCCTGAGTGACAGAGGTGCCTTTGTTATTTATGGTGTGCCCCTCACTTATAATGAGAAGATATTAAGGGCTAGCAGAAAGAACAACTATGCGATTAGAAGGTTGGAGCTTTGGTTCAAAGTGATATCAACCTGACCCTTGGGAAGGGGAGGGAACCTGGAAATTGAGTATAACCATGTGGACAAAAATTCAGTCTTATCTAGCTCATGAAGCCTCAATAAAAGTCCTGGATACTGAAGCCTGAGTACATTTCCCTAGGATATTGTCACACATCAACCCAGGGGGGCAATGTACCCCAAGGATATTGCAAGTTCGTATCTGGAGCCCTCTTGGATTCCACTCTACGCCTGCCTGCCTGCCTGCCTGCCTGCCTTCCTTCCTTCCTTCCTTCCTTCCTTCCTTCCTTCCTTCCTTCTTTCCTCGTAAGTATAGCACTTTCTTGATTTCTGTGAATGGTTCTAGTGAATTACTCAACCTGGAGGTAGTTGTAACTTTCCTTTTTTTTTAGCATTACATAGCTATTTTAATAAAAACACAACTTTGGAGACATTGTAGGACTTTGAAAGCAGTTAATAATCAAACCAGAATGGGTATCTTTTACATCTTGTCATCTTCAGAGTAGTTGCCTCTAATCTTAGACTTGATACTATCAAGCATACCAAATTCGAATAAAAATAAAGGCAAAACAGCGGTCTAACAAACCAGCTTCAAATAAGATCAGTCATAGTAAGACAATGTAAGTAATACAGAGTTTCAGTTTAAGTTAATAGGAAATTAAGGATAGTTACCATGGTATAACCTGCTATTTTGGGGATAGCTATCTGTACCCTCAAATCTAATATGAGTAGACTGACTGGAACAAAATAAAATCAAACTAAACAGCAATAAGACTACTGTGACTTTTAAATCCTGATAAACTATTATCAATGTTCTCTGCCTTCCTTTTTTTAGGCAATTCCTCACCTTTCCCCTTCTCAGGATGCTTTGTATATTCTGGGTCCCACTAGCTCCTTTAGTTTTTAGAGTAAGGGGTCAACTCGTGATTTATCTGAGTGTTGCTGAACCTTTTTACCTCTGAGCTTGATCTTGAGCTGTACTTCTTTACTTACTAAAGCCACAAGGTTTTCCTTCCTTCCAGCTGTGTAGTTCTCCACTGCACAAAAGTGTCGTAACTTTCCAATCTATCTGCGGCTGCTGGACGAGTTGTCCCTATTTCTCTCTGGTTTCCTGTCACATATAGCATCGTTTTCTCATCTTTGACTTTCAATTTATTAACCCTCTTTCAGGTTGAGTATATTTCCTATTCAGAGCATCTCGATGGATCCTGCCTCCTAATCTACTCTGCCTGTGTTTCTTTTTGTTAGTGTATCAAGGCTATATATACTAAAGATTACTGCCTCCCTTCTCTGCCTCATCTCTGCTATTCTTCTGCTATTATTTGTCTGCTTTACTCCTTCATTCCCCTGTCTGCCCCATTCACTGAGGCCTCTCTGCCACTGTTGCTGGAATCCTGGTATTTTTTTCTCTCTCTCGCTGGAATGTCCTTCAGTATCTTTTGTAGGATTGGATTGGTGGCCATGAACTCCCACAGTTCCTCCTTGTCTTGGAAATATCTTATTTCTCCATTAATTTTGAGAGAGAGTTTTTCTGGGTACATCAGTCTGGGTTGGAGGTTATTTTCTTTCAGGGCTTGGACTATTTCCTCCCAGGCTCTTCTTAATTTGAGAGTTTGTGTTGATAAGTCTGTCATTATTTTGATGATTTTTCCTTTGTAGGTGATCTGCTTCTTTTCTCTGGCCGCTTTTAATATTCTGTTCTTGTGGTGGATTTCTGGGATCTTGATTATTATATGTCTGGGTGTAGCTCTGTTTTGGTTGTAGTTGGTTGTAGTTCTGTATGCCTCATTTATCTGGATATCATTCCTTTTTCCTATGCTTGGGAAGTTTTCCTTATTTCTGTGAATATTCTTTGTAATTCATCTGTGGTTACTCCTGCTTCTTCGCTCACGTTTTTTATTCTTAAGTTATAGATCCTCTTGTTGTCTTGCCTTTGAATTGTTTCTTTCTGGTTTCTTGTTATTTTTTAAGAGATCTTTTCTTTCACAATCATACATTATAAATCTCTCTTCAAGTTTCGAAAGTCTAACTAGTTTCTGTCAAGGCATTTTGCCAACTTCCAACAGAGTTTTTAGTTTCCTGGTAATCTCTTTGGATCTGTTTCATGTGTTCTAGGTTTTGTTTATATTCTTCATCAAAGGTTTCTCTTCCTTTTCTGGGTTCCTCTGTTCTTCCATCTGTGTTTTCTTGGGAGGGGCTTAGCATTTCTTTAATTAATCTTTTTATATCTTGCCTCACTTGGATTAGAATTTGAGTTTTAAGTTCATCTATGAGGTCACGAAGGTATTTCTTTATGTCCGCTGATGTTGTGGTTAATATTGCATGATTGCTGAAGTGGTTCTCTTCTGTATTTACCTCTCCTGGGCTTATTTTCCCAGGGTCAGTGGCTGAAGTTGTTTTTTTGTTTTGTTTTGTTTTTTTTATTTCTAACTCTTGTCATGTTTCTGGTTTCTTTCAGACAGGTGTGTTGTGGAGGTCCCTGGCCCTCTCCATATTGCTTATGGTTTTTCTGAAGCATGCTGACTGGGGTTTTGCTGTCCTCTCCAATTTGCTGTTATCTGAGGTGCACGCTGAGATGATGCAGGCCTCTAGCCTCTGAGCTAGTCAACCGCAAGTTCCTTCAGCAACTTAGCCTGTGCTTTGCGGAGGGTCCAGACAGTTTCATCCCTGGCTATTGTGTCCAAAGTAGGGGCAAGGCTCAGCCCAAGCAGATCCCACCAGTCCTCTCTGGGCTATGGGCAGCTGACGCCACCATGGCACCGGGCTCTGCCCTATTCCAAGATGTCCTCCAGCCAGTGACACCCACTGCAGGACTCAATCTCCAGCACTCAC